GGAACCAGACGGGATGATCGGGATGGTAGACCCTAACGGGCGGGTCGGGAAGGCGGGCCCAGGCGTCCGGGTCGAGGAGGCGGGTTGATGAAGCGTGAGTCCTGCAAATCACGAAGAAGTCTCGAGCGATAGCGCGATCCACAAGAAAATCATCATGAATAAATTGCGCGGAAGGCCCACGCGAAAGCGCGATTCTTGCATACGTACTTTCTGGCGAGGTCCCGCGCGAGAGCGCGACTTTGGAACAAGTTGTGAGGAAGCATCAGGCGGGAGCCGTTGTTGTTGTAGTTCGGGGTCTGGCCAGCCATTCTGAGGAAAACAAGATGCGAGCCCCGGGAGGACCACTTGAATTGAAAAACAATGGGCACCGGAGGGAAATCAAGAAGAATTCTTTAGAAGTGGGAAGCCAGCAACAAAAACGAACATAAAAGAAAAATGACATTGTCACAGGAGAGCACTAGAATGACCCCAGGATGCCCGAGGATAACTTAATAACCCCCAGAAAACTAAATGAGCCCAAGACACGCAGGCTTGTCAGTTCGCCTACCCCCAAAACAGCAGAGCCATCAGAGAAGGGCCAGCCCTCTGGGCGTAGGTGGTTTAACGAGGTTTGTCTTCTCTCTGCCAAGGTCTCTCCTTCTCCTGCTGTGGGAAAAAATTAATCACTGTTCCCTTTTAAAATACACCCCCACACCCAGCCGGCGGCCACCGGAACCATGCCAATCCCATGAGGGCCACCCCCCCCACCATCCCTGTCAAAGAACGATACAAAACGCACTCTGCCTCCACATTTGGAGCATGCGCGGCCAATCCGATGCGGCCCCCCCACCATCCCTGTCAGAAGAAAATACAGAATACACTTTGGGACAAAGTCTTGAGTCATGTTCTTGAGGCCCGCGAGCATTTTGTATTGTTTTTGACAGGGACGGCGGGGGTGTCAGCATATTCCCTGCTGTGCGCAGGGCTACCATCCCTGACAACAACAAAAAAAAAAATGCACCTCGCGGCTAAATCCCGATCATGCGCGGCCACCCCGCGATCACTGTCAAATGGTTTTTGACAGGGATGGCGGGGGTGGTGGCGCGTGGCCTGCTGTGCTCAGGCCCACCAGACACAATGATGGGCGTTGGTTTTCGACAAGCATGGTGGGGGCCGACTTGTTTCCCGATGTGTGCTGTCACATGCGCATGCGCACCTGACGCACTCCGCACGTACCCCGAACTTGGCGCAACTGGCGCGGCTGGAGTGTGCGGCACACCTGGCGCACTCGGAGCACGTGGCGCATCTGTCGCACCAAGCGTGCCTGGCACGCTCGGGCCCCAGGGGTGCCTGGCGCGCGTGGCGCCCTTGGAACGTGTGGCGCACCTCGCTCAAGCCTCGCGCACCTGGGGTCGGCTTTGGTTCCCAGTAGCTGTCCATCCAAAGACGACCGCTGAACATGCTCAGGCTCGGGTGGTACTTATGCGTTGGGAGGGCGCGTGGGAGCGAGCTGGACGGTTTCCGGCTTGCGGGCGGGTGGGTAGCTTGACCCCTCCCCCTACCCCCTTCCCTGGGCCTGGGAGGGGGGGGGGCGCGGGGCGTTCGAGCTCCCAAAATCGCCCAAGATGGCTCCAGCAGGGCCTCAGAGACCCCAAAATGGCCTCCAACATGGCTCAAGATAGTTGAAAATGGCTCAAGATAGCCGCCGACGCATATTCACGAGGCCTCAGAACGGCCCCGAGATGGTTTCACGTGCCCCCCGAACCCTCCAAGGACCTCCATCAACAGGCCAAAATGTCTCCAAAACCTAATGAACATGTTTGATGATTGCCTTCTCGCCTTCTAGCTTCCAGTAGGCCTCGAAGGCCCCAAAATGGCCGCAAGATGGCCCAAGGGAACCCCAAGAGGGACCCAAGAGGGCTCCCCAGACTGCGTCAAAAGCGCCCAAGAGCGCTCCAAGAACGGCTCCAGAGGGCCTCAAGACTACATGTTTGATTTTCCGAAAGGGGGGGGGCTGAATCCGTTACCCATTTCTTTTTGAGCCTCGGGGGCCAGATGGCCCCAAGAGGCCTCCCAGCCCCCCCCCAAAGAGCCCCAAGAGGGCCCCTGGACCCCCAACAGAGCCCCAGGAGGGCCCCAAGGGTGCGCCAAGTGGCTCCGCGAGGTAGAAAACACTGTCAAAGCGGCTGTTGCACGGGATGTTTATACACTTCCCTGATGGGCTGGTGGGGATTTTTGGTCGCGGCCGCGAAGGCGCAGGCGACGTCAGAAGCCGTCTCGGGCTACGGGGCTGGTGGGGATACGCGTACCGTCCACACTTGCAATGAGCATCACAGCACTCGCCGTGTGGGCGTACACGAAGAGACCGCGAGGGCGTACGCATAGATATCCTATCGCCCCCCCCCCCCAGCCAGGGCCGCTGCCTTCGGCACCAAGGACAGCTTGGCCAGCATCGGCCGACCAGCTGCATGCTCCGCTATGTCGAGATCTGCCATGTTATGCATCTGCTTGATGAAGTCTTCTATATCCGCCCGCCCTGGACTGGGGCCAAAGATCCCAACAGCTTCCCGATTGTCGCCAGGTACATATCACGCCATCTCACAACACTGGTTGCCATCAAACTGGCGTGCCTTAGCTACGTGTGCCCCATTTCGCTGCATCACTGTTGAGCAGAACGAAAGGATGCATGTGACCAGACAAAGTTACAGCAGGGTGCGCAAAGCTGCACAAGAAACCTCGAACCTCGTATTCACTTTCAATTATCCAAACCAGTTTTTTTTCTACGGACGAAGGACACATCCCAGTAGCCCTCTTGGCGTGGGCGGTCTAAAGATATACGCGCTGACTCTTCCAAGCCCCCGAGCCCCTCTTCACTTCGGGAGAAAAACCTTCCGCCTTCATTCCCTGAAGTTTTTGTTTGGGGAGTCGCGACGTGTCAGAAAGGGGTCTCTTTTCTCCCAAAAACGGTTCCGAGAAGGCACCAGATGCCTCGAGATGGTATCCAAGATGGTTCAAGAGATCCGACGATGGTTCAAGACAGCTTTCAACATGCCTTCAAGAAGCCCCAAGAGAGCCACAAGCCTGTTCCAAACGCCCTCGAAGCCCCCCCCCCCCCAGGACCATCTCAAGACGCCAACATCATTCAAACACCTGAAGGAAACGCACGTTTGCGCCTTCTCCGATGGGCCGCCGAGGCCTCAAGAGAGAAGCCCAAGAAGCCCCCAAGACAGCGCCGAGACCGCCCACGGGCGCCCCAAGAGGGCCGCAAGGAGGCCTCAAGATGCTAGTTCGAGAGCTCTCTAGGGGGGCATCAATTCGGGACCCCCCTGCTTTTTGATCGACGCCCTCCACAGTGGCCCCAGGAGGCCCCCAGGGCCCCCGAGAAGTCCCCAGGAAAGCTCCAGGATGACCCCAAGACTCCCCCCCCCCGGGAAAAAGAAACCCAAGTGGATTCCATGACTCCCCAAAACAACCCCGGGAGGCCCCCGGGAGGGCCCCGACAGAGGGCCTGCTCGGACTGCTCGCGAGCTTTGGTTTAATTGGCTGCTCTGCTCTGTCTGGGCATCGTTCCTATATTGTCGTTGCTCGCGAGCGCAAGCAGGAGAGTCGCGCGCCGTCAGGAAGATGCCACGCAGCAAAGACCTAAATTACAACGGCCAAAAACGTGACCGAACGCGTGCAGCTAGCGAGCGGCGGAAAAATGACAGCTGCGCAACGAGGCTCAACCGCCGCTCAGAAGGCGAGGACACCCGGGCCCAACTGGCGGCATTTCGAAGAAGAGGGCGGGCGACTAACGCGGCACAGCTCAGAAGCCAACGTCCAAGCCCAAACGCACCAAGAACCCGTCGTCCTCGAAGTACGCGCACAGCAACGTGCAACCGCAGGCGGCCTGCAAATCGGCGTCAGTCAAATACCGCGAGCCGAACGGCGTGAGCCCGCCAAGTGGACGAGCGTGGAATAAACGCGTCCGTGGCCCTGCGTCCCAAAATCCCGCTGGTAGGGAAACTTTTTCGGTCGCGGCCGCAAGCGAAGAGGCAGGCGGCGGGCAGGGAGTCCGGGCCAACGGGCAAGCCGAATTAGCTACAGAAGGCGCACAAGCCGGCCGGCCCAGCTGGTAGAGACACGCGAAACGCCCACAATTTCATCACACCAAAGGGATAGAAAGAGAGAGAGAGAGAGAGAGAGAGAGAGAGAGAGAGCAAAAACAAAACAAAACACACACACACACACAAAAACAACAAAAAAAACACACAACAACCAAAAACAAACAAAAAAAAAAAAAAAAAAAAAAAAAAAAAAAAAAAAAAAAAAAAAAATGCCCCTGACAACAAAACCCCGGGAGGTAACAAATGTCGGGGCCCCCAGGGGAAATAGCTTCCACGGCAACTCGCTTAGTCGGATGCACGGTGCACGGAGTGTAGTAACAATCGTAATAGTTGTAGTAGTAGTAGTAGTAGTAGTAGTAGTAGTAGTAGTAGTATTAGTAGTAGTAGTAGTAGTAGCAGTCGTCGTCGTCGTCGTCGTCGTCGTCGTCGTCGTCGTCGTCGTCGTCGTCGTCGTCGTCGTCGTCGTCGATTCGATTCGATTCGCGGGGCCATGAAGGCAATCCAGGCGAGCGGGCTACTCGCCCGAGCACACGCCGCCAGGGCTCAGGCCGCGGCCGCGCCGCGGGCGGTCGCGGCGGTCCTCCGCGGTGGAGCTGGCGGCCAGCGCCCGCTCGGCGAGGCACTGCTCGATCAGGCCGCACGCGGCCAGCATGGGGACCCGCGGGTCGACGCCCGCCACCTCCAGCTGCGCCGCCGCCGTCGGCCGCGTCGCTGGCCCCTGCTCGCGGCCGCCTGCATGCCCAGGCGCTGCCGCTGAACTGCCACTTGCTGGCGGGGGGCCCTCCTCGACCACGATGCCCAGCCAGGCCAGGAACGCCTCCTGAGCCGACGGGGCCGGAGGCCCCTGCCGCCTCAGCGCAGGGAACTCAGCACCTTTCTCCATGCGCTGCTGGACTCCTCCGCGTGGCCGACCACATGGATGAAGCCCTCGAGCCCAGAGGCGGCGCTGGCTGCGCTGCCCGATGGCCCTTGCCCCGACGCATGGCTCCTTGAGCTTAGGGCGGCCCCCAGCGCGGCCGCCGAGGACCATGTAGGCGCCGCACCTGCTGCATGCCACCAGCTCCTGACACTCCTCGCCCGCGTCGCAGAGCGCGTACGCCAGGGAGCGGCCGAGGTGGCCCGCGCCAGCCGTGGTGAAGGAGAGGCCGACCGCGCTGGCCGCCGAGCGGAAGCTCTCCACGCGCGGCTGCTGCTCCGTCGGCCTGCCTGCAGTGGCCTGCTCGGCCTGCTCCTCCAGGTCGGCGAACCTCGCCCTCTGCCTCTCGTCGGACACGAGGAGGCAGTCACTGTCCTTCTCCGCGATGTCCCGCCTGGCGACGGCCGCCTCGGCGTGCAGCCGTGCTCCCAGCTCGGCGGAGCCGCGGGCGCGCAGGGCGCCGCACCGCTGCGCCTCCGTGCGCAGCCCGCCGAGCACCGCCTGCCTGTTGCCGTGGGCGGCCACCTTGCTCGCCCTGGAGCCACCAGGTCCGAGGGCGGCGGGGCTCCTCCAGGGGTGGGCGTTGGCCTTGGTCGGGCCCGTCGCATAGGCCAGCCCCCTGTGCTGGCTCTTCGCCGTGCCGCGGCCGCCGATGAGGACCTCCTCGACAGCAGGGCCCGCGTAGAGCACATTCTTCCAGACCGCGAAGCCCTCACCGCCACGGGCAGCCTGCTGTGGCGGGAGGGCCCTCCTGACGGTCACGTAGGCGCCCGCGACGAGGCTGCCGTCGTCGTAGCATTGAGCAAAAGCCCAGCCCGCGTGTCCCCAGGCGTAGAGCCGCTGGTCGACCGACGAGCCGTCCACGCACAACTTGCCATCGGGCTTGACGTCGGGCGGCCTGCATGTCCTCCAGCACCTCATGGCGTCCGTGCGAGGCCCTTGTAGGGGCGGCGTCGCTGACCACCAGCGCCGAGCAACGACCTCCCCTGCTGCCACTCCGAGAGGGCGAGCCCGCACGGCGCTCCACGCCAGCGCTGGCGAGACTGAGTCGCTCAGCGGGGCCGCAAGCATGGGGCACTCGAACATACTGTGGAGCCTCGCCTGCGGCCAGTGCGCGTTCGTGAGGTGGGAGACCAGCCCGCTCCTCTGACGCTCGCCGAGCTCGCCTCCTGGCCCGACGAGCTCCCTGCAGGCAACCCAATAGGCGGAGCCACACACAGACGGGGCACTGGCCAGCTTCCGCATCTCAAGCCAACCCGAGGCGCGCCTCGCCCCTAGGCGGGCCTCTGGGCCAAGCTCAAGCAGCCCCATCAGCGTCATGTCCCGCACGTCCGTGATGAGGCACCGCTCGGACCTGAAGTGCCAGCCGAAACTGCCCAGGGTGAGGACAGCAGCATCCACGGGGAAGTCGCGGTGCGCCCAGGGCTCCGCTGCTGACGCCTGCCGCTGCGCTGTAGCCCCGAGCGCTCCTCTGAGCACCGGCGGGGGGAGCTCGCCCGAGTGCAACCATCCTGCCAGACAATGGAGCGTGCAGTCCGTGATCAGCATGGGCGGGTCCAGGTCGAGGGCCCTGCGGGGCTCCGCACACCGCAGCCTGAGGCCGAGGGCCGCGCCGCGGGCGCGCCGCCCCGAGCAGGGGCACGCGGTGACTCGCCCACCGCGCAACTCTCCGTCAGCTTCACCAGTAACCGTCCGCCCCCATGCCACACTGGACGTAGGCCCCGCCTTGTGGATCATGTCCTCGGCGATCAGGTGCGCGCCCCCACGCGCGATGTAGGCCTCTAGCACCTCCAAGGCACGGTCACATGCGTTGCCGTAGACGTCCAGCACGTCGAAGCATGCACGGAGCAGCCCAGCAACCTTCTCAGAGGCAGGCACAGCCCTGCCCACTTTCGCCTCAAGGGCGGCTGGCGTGAACCCGGCGGCGGCTCCGCGACCCCCATGGGGCGGGGCAGACGGCTGCGACGTCGGAGGGCTGAATCCCCCGCCGTCTGCCCGCTCGAGGCCGTCGGGGGGACGCCTCGGCGGTCCCGACCGCACCTCGGCCCAGGAGTGTACCCGCCTTGCCGCCGTGGCTCCCCTCGCGTCAGGTGCAAGGTCGGCCAGACAGGCGGCGGCGGAGGCGGCGCGGGTCCCCAGGCTGTCGCCGCTGCCGAGCGGCTAGGAGCGGCGAGGGCCCATAGGAGCGTAGCCCCCAGCAGCTGCCAGGGAAGCCAAGGCCTGGCCGTCCTCGTGCTCATCCCTGGCATCCTCAAGGATCCTGCGCTCGGCCTTGCCAGGCTGGGGCCAAGCGCCAAACGCCGCGCCCGACTGGCCGCGGGCGGCGGCTGGCCCGTAGGGCCCCACTGCTGGGCTTGCCCGCTGGGTGGGCGGGCACGGCCGCTCCTGCTGCCCTGCTGCCTCCGCTGGCGGCCGCCGCACTGCGGGGGCGGAGGCTCCAGCGGCTGGGGCGGGGGCGCCTTCCTCGTCGTCGACGGCGAGCCCGTCCCCGCCAAGGCC